ACCACTATATTTCTGTAATTCCAAATTCCATTTGCTGGCAGAGAATTAATTTGCATTTTTATTAAGCCCATCTGCTGTTTTTGTTCAGACCAATGTGAAAATCAACCCATGTTTTTATGCAGTAAACACACAGTGTTGTAAATGTAACTAGTGAATCAACAAGAAGATAATGCATTATAAAAATGTAAACAATTAAGACAGTAATATATATTTGTTATTTAATTAATAGGCTATAATAATTGATTGATAATTGTTTAAATTAATATAATAATTGATCATTTTGCCTCCATTTTCTTAAAAAAATGGTTTAAAGGCTGAAATGTGAAGTTAATCATTAAAAAAAAAACTGTTTTTGTGAAAACCTGTATCTGAACTCTAAATCATGCTTTTTACAGTCATTTTAATTTTATTTGTGCAGGTCTTAAAAAAGCCTTAAAGGTTCAAAAAACACATTATTTTCCACATACTGTACATTATTGTTTTTCCTCTATGCCCCGCCTTTCTGAAACACGTAGAATTTTACAAAGCTCATCGGTCTGAAAAGCGAGGTGTGCTCTGATTGGCCAGCTATCCAGTGCGTTGTGATTGGCCGAATACCTCAAGCTTGTGACGGAAATGTTACGTCCCTACCATATTGTGATACCCTGTCCGGCCGGAGCGACGAGACAAAAACATTAAAACCCATTATAAACGAGGCATTTGTTGCATCCAGTGGGGACATAATTACGGATTATAATGATTTATACTGTCTTTTTACCAAAGAGAAAGGAAAAATTTAAATCGCATCATATGACCCCTTTAAATATGAGCTTAAATATGTAGATACCCTGGTCTGGCAAAAACCGTCAATTCAAGTTTTTAGGTAGGCCTATATAATTGTCCGGACCTCGGCTGGTGAGGACGGTTCATTACTGGACCTCAAGCAATTTTAGTTGAAGACTCCTGCTCTAGATCAACATTCGTCACGATTCTGTGCTCATGGGAGTCTCTTAAAAGATCTTACATACCCAAAGTTATCAAGACAGTTGCGAAAGGTAGTCAGTGGAAGTACAGTGATGTGTCAGAACTCAACTCTATTTACAAGAAAAACATGAGGGCTCGTATCATAAAAGTTTCAAAACTCTGCTCTCTTCTGTCATATCCTTGTCTTTAATTTTCATATTGCTTGCACATAATTTGCTGGATTTGGCCTACTTTTTCAACTCCATGGGTTAAAGCAACCCCACTAACTCGATATCCCCCCTCCTTATCTCCCCCTAGTTGTGGACTAGTTTTGAGAAGAAATTGGGCGGATTTTGTTGTGAAAACCTGGCAACCCCGTTCGTATTGTTCTTTTGCACATGTGGGTCAGTTCAGAACCATGATCTGTTCACACTGGAAATCTGATATTGACCACATTTAAAACAACAGTGAACAGCTATACAAAAAAAATCAGATTTGAGCAAAAACCGGAATTGAGCACTAAGGCTCGCAGTGTGAACGTAGCAGAAAACACCACGCAAGTAACGAGTTCTATTTTTCGTCTTCTTGAGCAAATACACACAAAATGTCAGAATGGCTGTCTTGACGAGTGTACAAGTAAACAGTCTATAACATCTTAAGTAAACATAAACAGTTAAGAAAATATCGGATGTGTGTCAACGGATCCGTGCATTTCTTATGTTACTAATGTTAATCAAACAACAAAAGAAAAGTAGAGAAAAACTCACTGCTCTTGTCTTAACTAAACATAACTTGTCTTAGGTATTTTTGTATATTTACTTCATAGTTATACAGTTTTCACAAGCACTGGTAAGTTTATTTAGGTCATTTCTATCTTTGTATCTAATGGTCTCTCTGAGGGCTAAGCCCCTCTGAGGATAAAATCCTAGAACCGCCCCTGGGTGTTGTATAGAAGATCGGGGGCAAAAGGGGCGTTTCAAGGCCTCCCACACATTCAAAAACAAATATTAAGGCATAATCAAATTTTTTACCTATGAACAAAAATACAAAAAAATCTAGCTTAATTTTTGTTTTTCCTTTTCTTAAACAAACCGAAAAAAGAAACCAAAAATCAAACCGTTTCTCATTTCTCTTTACGCTTTTTAAGTAGAAAATCAAATGACCAGAAGGTGCACGGACCTCGTCACCTGGCATGGTTTTGTATACTGTTTCATATTTGGATCCCAATCTGGATATTCTTTGGCTGGATTGCATTTACAACTGCATTCCAATGTGTCTGAGGTGTGATCGGATAAAAACCATAAAACAATTGATGGGATATTGTTTATTAAATGAGGAAACCAGATAGTAAGACTGTCACTTTAAAATACTAAGCATTACACACTGATTGTTTTTCTCTTTTTTTTTACTGACGTATAAAAATAGAGCATGACAGAACAACCCACTTTGTCAAAGTGGTGGATAATTATTATATGTAGCACAATCTTTGTATTACAAATCACTTGTATGCAGTTTATCTAATGTGGTTAGAATCTGTAATATGATCATGTAAGAAAAATAGCTGCAACGTGATGCAATAAAGAGAGAACAGAAACATAAAAAAGTAGGAGTAAAGTTTTCATATGTGGTCTAAGCAATCAGGTGCATTTACACTTGGGCAAGACTCCTGAGGTTTGAGTGATTGGAATACTCATCTTGAATGCATCTTGGAGGACATGTTCACATGGTCTTTTCATGAATGGATAGTTATCTGATTAGTTAATAAATAACTCCCAAATTGTGGTAAAGTGGGGGGAAAAAAAGGTTAAAGGAGACCATGCAAATGAGAACAGAAAGATGGACAAAGCAAAATCTTGTCTATAGAGAACTGTGTAACTAATTTTTATTGCCCATTGATTTATCTTTTCTTCTCTACCACCTGCCTTTATTGCTTTCTCATCCGTTGTGTTTTTCTGTATGGTAGAAGAAATTCGGGGCTTCTTTCAGAGAGTGTCAATGCTATTAAATTAATAATCACATATATTAAATAGATGAACAATGCGTTTCATTTATGCTTTGCCCAAGCATTGATTTATTGTTTTCCTTGAGAAACACAGTAAATGTAATGACCATGAGAAATCATCATTAACGTGTTCTGTTCCAGTGTTTATCAGAAACCTTGATAGATATTTAAACAGCTCTGTTCACTCTGTTGCTCTATGTGAAGCGCTTGAAGAGAAAAACATTTCTCCATTGGTTAAAGGTGGTTAAAATTGGTTTGAGTTTTGTTTCACATTGAGGCATGGGTTTATTCCATAGCAGAAACAGAAGAGAGACGTCTAAATGCCTTTCTGTTTTGCAGTGTTTATCGTCTCCATTGTGGAAATTAGGATGCTGGGCTGGTCTTGGGTGTCCTGAGAGGGGTCTGAGGGGTCAGATTGGAGGGTCATGTGATCGATGAAGCAGGCAGCGAGGAGACAGAAGTCTTGACTGGAATCAGATGAAGAAGCTTCTCACTCAATATCAACCACACACGATGCATTCAAAAATCACTGAAAAGTCACACTGTTGGAGATACATAAATAGAGTGTGAGGGAGCACAGCATCATTTTAAGGCATATTAATGAAGATGACCATTTTTAGACAGAAATTAAATGAGTCACATTTGGCAATGAATAAGGAATAAATGTATATAAATTTCAGCCTTCTTTTCTCATACAGTGCTTGGGCAGTCTTACAGTTTAATAATGGTCTTGCAAGACTCTTAAACTTGTAAGTGTGAAACATTTTTCAGTGTAGTTTTTGTAGCTTATTTCACATTTTTACACACGTTCCGTATATCACACATATGCCACAGTTGTCTGAAGCCATTTTTTTCCACAAATGATCTCAGTTGGATAGACATACTCCGTATGGCTTTCTGCACATCTTGTCATCGTCTTCTACAAAGCTTGATAAAAACGCACCAGAACTATGCAACAACACATGCCATATGTCAGAACAGAAACGGTCTTCCTTCACCAAGACTTCTTTTTCTGTTTGCAAATGAGACATTTCACCAAACAGTTCCTGCTTTGATAAAGGGTGCATTTGATTACAAAGACTCGCCACCCTCACAATTGAAATCTTGAACTCAGTTCATTGCACTGATTGAAGGACAAAACCAAACTAAAAACATCTTTTCGCTCCAAGCATCTGCCTTTCTTTGGTGGTGACACGGCGTGACGAATCATTAAAAAGAGCCGATAGTTGATGTGCAGTTGTGTGTTGCATGGTTACCGGCGAGGATTGAGATTGTAAGGTGTCAGAGTGTGATTTTCAGTCTGTTAAGAGGTATCGGTGTGGAATTGTGCTGCAAGGCTTTCAGTTAAGTGCACAAATCCTTTAGATTAATCCAAAAGCAGTCATCAAGCTCTGACATGGCCATTATGAGACCTTCTCGCAGACACAGTACTTTTCTCTGCCTCTTTATGGTCCCTTCACCGCGTGTTAGGTTCTCACGTCTTTGTGACATGAAAGTCTAAAACTGGAATTAGTTACGGGGTCAAAGACGTATATTATCTCTGTTGAGGTAATGAAGTGGAAATATTAGTAGGAAGGGAAAGAGAAAAGCTCAAAAGATCTGAAGATTGAAAGAGAGTGAGAGATGAAATGCACAAAAGGTGAGCACACGAAAGAAGAAGGTAAATGGAGAATATATCTGATTCAAAAAGAGAGAGAGAGAATAGAGTGTTAGCAGATTGAAGTGTACTGGGCATTCGATAGCAAGATAATATACTCTAAAGGTCAGAGTGGTGCCTGGATTGATTCAGCGAGCTATACTTGACACGAGCCTCAGTGCTCACTGAAATAATGTGTCTGTGGCAAATCAAAGCCATGTCTACAAAGTCATCACGGTGACATCAAGTCACCTTAGTGCCAGAGAAGCACGACCTGAGGGACACTCCAGGCGATGTGCTTTCACAGCCCAGCTCGCCTAAAAGTAGTTCACCCTGATCTGGGAACAGGGTCATTGTTTCCTGCAAATTGTAATAGGCTAAAGTGATCCTTGATCAGAACTCGAGGTAATTCTCAATCACTTTCTCTGCCTTCGCAGTGCTGCTGTTGGGGATTTTCCTGTACACGCGCTGGCGGAGCTATAAGGGGCTGAAGGAGGGCGTGTATCACGTGTCTGCCCACCATGACGGATGGGAGGACATCCGAGAGAACGTGCTCAACTACGATGAGGAGGGCGGCGGGGAGGAGGATCAGGTGAGCACATGACTTCTGTTTCCAAAATTGATTTCAGTTCACAGGTCAGAGAATCCGACGCCTGCTTCCAACACAGGAGGACAACTGAGTGCTCAAAATTACTGTAGATTATATTGATGGTTACTTGTTATCTTTCCTGTGGCTGTCTACAAGAGATGACGTAGGAGGTCTGGGGGATTATGGGCAAAACACTGGAATAGGAAGTGCGATTGTATGGGTGAATAAAGCGAGACCTCAATTCTAAAAAAGGTGTCAGTTAATCTCTCTATATTCATCTACAGTTACTATGACAACTTGTACAGGTTGTCATGACGCCCCGTCGCAGCGAGGCACCCTTGTCAGTTTGTCTCTATGACAACCTCTAACATTTAAAAAATGCGCTCTGATGCTGATGACAAGTGGCTTCGCTGAGTGCTGAGAGAAAGTGTGACATCTTGTTTTGTTCGAAATTTGGCTTTTTATTTCCAGAAACCCACCAAACAAGAGGTTTGGGCTGTTTGATGTAACTGCCTGCTCCTCTGATCTCTCTGAAGTATGTGGGTGTAGATATGTTGCAGGATCTTTTATTCTCATATCTGCCGTGTGTAAAATCCTGTTACATGATTAACAGATGCATAGTGGTGCTCTGATCCTCTCCATCTGATGAGGCTTCACACATCTCCCTCATCATGTAATCAATTACGCCCACACCCGTGTCACCCACACCTCCCTCTCTGTCTCTCTTCCTCCTCCTCCTCTTCGCCTATTTTTTCCTTAAGGGGCATTATATGTTGTTCTTCCTCCCCCGAGAGCTGCACTACTAAATAACAAGAGGAATCATCCTCGGTGGAATGGGATTAATGTTGACGCTCAGTGGGAGAAGGGGACCAGTGTCTTGTTTTGTTGTGTTTACTGAGTGTGTAATGCCGGGCTGTGCTCTTCTCTGTGTCTGTCAGGATTCTTCCTCTCAGGTGCAGGAAGACGCACACAAAGGTATTAATCTGAATGCAGTGTTAGCAACTTCAATCCGGATTAATGCCATTAACAGTTTGGGGGATAATAAATTACATGATGAAGTACAGACAAGCAGCTTATTTTGTCAGTGAGCTTATTAGTCGTAGCAGTTTTTCGTGACAGACGTTGTTGTTATTCCACCAGTTCCTAAATGTAATGACACGTTATGTAATGCTAATGATCTTGTTATTTGTCAGCGCTTTATGCATCTAATTTTCACCTCTCTCGCTCTCTTTCAGAACGCCTATGACATGGCAGAGCTCCAGAAGTCCCTGCAGCCCAGCCCGGCCCAGTCGGTGCAGTACAGCCGATCGCTAGCCATCCACCACCACCCTCCCTCCCAGCAGCAACAGCAACACTTTTGCCAGCCTGACCCCCCCTCCAGAGCGGGTACGGCCACCACCACCTCCTCCATCTCCTCAGGAACCGCCACCATCCGTAGGGACGTACCCCCCTGCCGCTCTCCGGCTCAAGGCCAGACTGCGAATCCCAGCCGAGCGGCCCAGCTGGCCCGCAAGAGCTTGTCGTTCTCCAGCCAGGACCTGGCACGCTACCTGTGTGAAATTATCCGTGATGCCGACCAGCACCCGGAGACGGCGCCCTTTGACTCCCTGCAGGTCTTCTCCACGGAGGGGGGCGGCTCGCTGGCCGGGTCACTGAGTTCCTTCAGCTCTGCTGGGCTGGAAGAGGGAACGGCGGCAGGTCACGAGTGTTTGAAAGAGTGGGGGCCACGCTTTGAGAAGCTGAAAGCCCTCTATGAGCGGGCCGAGGGCAGCGACCTCTAAAGAACTGCCAGGAAGAGTTCCTGCAGTACGAGGAGAGGAGGGAGACCACTAAAGACTTGTCTAAAAACCAGAGGGATTTTTCTTATGCCGAAAATCCCTACGCTTTGGCTTTCTCTGGCAAGTGACATTTGGGACTCCCAATGAGCAGCAAATGGGAAGTGCTAATCCAAGGCACAGCAAGTTGTGGTCATGACAATTTTTAAACCCAGAGTGGCATCTTTATTAAAGTGACTTGCGGATGACAATGATTTTAGTGGAACCATTTGTTGTCTTTGGGACCGACACTGGCGGAGCGCTTTGGACGTGTTCTATATGTCTGTATGGTCTATATGTTCTTAAATAAAAGTAAGACAGGAAGAAAAATAAACTGCCGTGCTCAGATGCGACTAGGAGGGGTTTGTCCTTCTCCTTTTACGGGCCGATTTCTGAAATCAGTTTGCCGCATGTTCTGTCAGAGTGGCCACTTGTGTTCATCAATCATAACTTCATACTTGGATACTGTTGATTTTTTTTCTATTTGCTCAGCCCTCCGCTTAGATTTTATTCACTCGGATGCGAGGATGAAAGAGGAAGTCTGCGGGAAAAAAACTGAAGATGTGTGAAAAACACTGAGGAAAATGAAACACAAAGCAGCTTTATTGTTTGGCATTTTAGGAGACATTCCTTGGGAATACAAATTATGTCCTCTCTTTCTAGCCAAAAAGGAGTGAAGGAACGGCTGGAATACAAATGTGGCTGAGTGGCTGGCATGAGATGGAAGTTTTCTGTAGCTGAAAACTATCGAAAACTCTCTTGACTCTCACGCTTTACTGAGCAGTAGCAATCAGAGTCTGCCAAGCTAAAGGATAGCCATTAAGACAAATGAACAAATGTGTGTGTTGTTCCATGTGATCAACTCAAACATGATATTGAGCTCTGCTGGAGGAGCTTTCAGCACTGGAATGAGCTTACAGTCCAGTTTGCTTCCTCCCGACAGTATCATATTATTAACCAAACCAGCTTACCCGACCGTACCGTCATTTCCTGTTCTACTATAAATAACTCCTTGTATCCCATCACATTATTCGGCACTGCAGTGAAAGAAATGGGCCTCGGCACCAGGTGCATTCAGGGAGTGGCGGTCCAGCGGTTTCAGACCCTGAGCACCTCCCATGTAACATGTTTTATGAGGCTGCATGGGGTGAAGGAAAAGCAAGGCAAGCTTGTGTGTGCAAATGGAATAACTAAAAGTCTCCCCCCGTGAGGCCTCAAATGCCAACCTTGTATTTTATGCATTTTAAGGCAATGTTTTTTGCCTCCTTTTATCATTTCAGTTATTTATTTATTTATATTTTTCTGGAGAATGCCGTATGTGGAGCATGACAGGCTGGCTGAGGAGAGTGCAGCGTGTAGGAGTGTGTTAAAAGACATCAGACTGCTAATCCTAATGTGAACTGATCGCTCACTGTCATGCTGTGAACCAAAGGATCAGGGGAGTTGGAAAACTCGATGGAGAAATCGTCACTCTTACTAAGGATCTTAAAAAGTGCCAATATTTCCAAAGGCAGTAACGAGAATTAAAAAAAAAAGGTTCAAGTTGAAGCTAAGAAATATAGCTGGAAGTGCAATGCTTGCTATTTTATAGAGTTCAAAAGAGGCCAACGGGATTGGCGCTTGGAGTCATCCTTGAAAGGGGATTGGGGAGGATCCAGTGTGAGGTGAGAGTATTCATGAATGAAGCATGATGGGATCTTACAAAACCAATTCCTCTTCGATTTTGAACCAAGGCCACCTGTTTATTTGTGTGGTGAATATATACAGTACTCTATTTTGTGAAACAATGTTTTTACCTCATTTGTGCATATTTAAACAGAAGCAATTGCTTTTTAAAAATATATAAAGGGATCTAATTCTGTTTAAAGCTTTTTTTCCCATGTATTATTTAATCTTTAAGTGGTAAAAGTATATTGACATTTTGTATTTGCATCCTTTGCATTGCTTTTTTTTCTTTCTCAATAAATGGAGTTCTTCTGTTACGGCTTCAATTGTATGTTAAATACTGCTATATTCAAATGAAACAGCAGGGTTTTAAGTCTCTTGATGAATAAGTGGCCTATTTTATATGGAAACGGAGCTGTAATTAGTTTGGGATAATGCTGAACATGAAATGAGAGCGGCCTAAAATCTCTGACCTGTATTTCTCAAAATGCCTTTGTGATTTTACTTCAAATGACAGAAATAATTTTGTAGTAACAGAGATCTGCAGCATCCACCATACAAATCTGCTTTAATACAAAAATGGAAATGTACACTGAACATCCAAAGACAAAACAACACTTTTGATGGAAACTATCCATCTGCATGAAATACCACAGTAACAAACTAGTGCAATGAACTGTACCAAATAACTCTTACGGTTAAACAATGCCAGCATATGAAAACAAAGCACACAGTTCCATAAAGATCATCTCCTGAGGAACAATGTGTTGTGACAGAGACATTGTGTGAAGCAAAGGTTCACGTGTAAATTGTCTGACAGGTAAGGTAACAATAGTGGTTTCACCATATTATAATACAATCACAGAATGACACGGAGGAGCACTCGTGCTACAAACCGAATTTGCAGAAAAAGAAATCCCATGTTTATCTTTAAACACTTCAGAGTTATTCAAAATGGTTATGCACCTGTGCACAAAGACATTCATCTAACATCCTGGGGAAGAAAAAACACAGCAGCAAAGATCTAATGTAGGTAAATTTTGGTAGCACTTGAGGCCACTCATTTGAAGGTCTTTTGAATGCATGACTCATTAGCGCAGCAGAGCTTATCCAAAAATGGAAAGGCACTTTCGTACACTAAACTTTAGAGCTTAAGATGGAAAAAAATAGCATCATAACATTGTTGACCATTTAATATGTTTAACTCCCGTTTTAAAAAGACTCAAACTGTGAATATTTCAACTGAACTACAACTTCACAACGGAGGATTAAGGAAATGTATTGAGACGACTAACCTTTAAGAATACTTCAGCTGTTATTCATCCTAAAGCATACTAAATTTAATGTCCCTGTTTACAACGTCAAATGTCTAAACACTTTTTAACCATCTATAGTGTCAAAGTGATGACCTCCTACTTGCAGAATTAAAGCACAACACATATACAGTAGTAGAGTCCAAAAGTTCGACACCACATTAAAATATGAGAATAAAAATGCAATTTAAATTTGATTAAGATTTTGAAATGAAATTCACCATTTCTAGGTCAAAGTAAATTTGTGACATTTATTCTTACGAGCATTTATGGCACGTTCTCTATGCCCATGAGTAAGGCTGGTTCTTGAGGTTTTTTTTTTTTTTTAAGCAGCCAGATAGTAGGATGTGGCCCAACTTAACACCGGCCAACAGTTTGGCAGATATAAAGACAACACTACAACAGCCACTAATAATCCCAAACAGCTAGTGTGAATTCCAAATACAAAGCATTTTTCCCCATTGCTATTTTCTCTTTTCATTTAGTTTGCGACAGGAATGAGGCTGTGAAAGCAGTCATTGTGTCTTCACCTCACATTTTCTTTTAGTAGCAAATGTGTGTGAAAAGCCTAAATGTGTTTGGTGGAAGGGCATGTGTAGAAAGAGATGCAATGATCAGAGAGAGAGAGAGAGAGCAAGCGGGGTGTCAGACTGTGAGAAAAAGAGATTTCCCCCCCCCTCTCTCCACGTTAAACTTGAGCTCCTGTTGCGGCAGACCGGCTCAGAGCAGATTTACACACACACAAACACGCACCAAATCATCTAGTGCGTGCTGGCTCAATCAGGCTTAGCGCAGCAGAGCTTATCCAAAAACGGAAAGGCACTTTCGTACACTAAACTTTAGAGCTTAAGATGGAAAAAAATAGCATCATAACATTGTTGACCATTTAATATGTTTAACTCCGTTTTAAAAAGACTCAAACTGTGAATATTTCAACTGAACTACAACTTCACAACGGAGGATTAAGGAAATGTATTGAGACGACTAACCTTTAAGAATACTTCAGCTGTTATTCATCCTAAAGCATACTAAATTTAATGTCCCTGTTTACAACGTCAAATGTCTAAACACTTTTTAACCATCTATAGTGTCAAAGTGATGACCTCCTACTTGCAGAATTAAAGCACAACACATATACAGTAGTAGAGTCCAAAAGTTCGACACCACATTAAAATATGAGAATAAAAATGCAATTTAAATTTGATTAAGATTTTGAAATGAAATTCACCATTTCTAGGTCAAAGTAAATTTGTGACATTTATTCTTACGAGCATTTATGGCACGTTCTCTATGCCCATGAGTAAGGCTGGTTCTTGAGGTTTTTTTTTTTTTTTAAGCAGCCAGATAGTAGGATGTGGCCCAACTTAACACCGGCCAACAGTTTGGCAGATATAAAGACAACACTACAACAGCCACTAATAATCCCAAACAGCTAGTGTGAATTCCAAATACAAAGCATTTTTCCCCATTGCTATTTTCTCTTTTCATTTAGTTTGCGACAGGAATGAGGCTGTGAAAGCAGTCATTGTGTCTTCACCTCACATTTTCTTTTAGTAGCAAATGTGTGTGAAAAGCCTAAATGTGTTTGGTGGAAGGGCATGTGTAGAAAGAGATGCAATGATCAGAGAGAGAGAGAGAGAGCAAGCGGGGTGTCAGACTGTGAGAAAAAGAGATTTCCCCCCCCCTCTCTCCACGTTAAACTTGAGCTCCTGTTGCGGCAGACCGGCTCAGAGCAGATTTACACACACACAAACACGCACCAAATCATCTAGTGCGTGCTGGCTCAATCAGGCATCTCTCCGATCTCTCTCATGCACACACACACACACACACACCTGCTACTATCACACACTCACTGAACATTCCAGATGGGGCGTTCAGCCATCCAGTGAAGGTGGGCGACTGCTGTTGAGGAATGAGCATTACGGACTGTTCTCAGCTTAGTTTTTTCTTTTTGAGTTTCTTGAGTTTGTACACGTGAAATGTCTTGCTTTTGAACACTCGTGTGAAGAGGGTTGAATAAGGAGGCATGTCGGTCTTAATGGCCTCACAAAACCGCGGGTGAGATGCCGAGATGAGGTCCGGCTCATTTTCACCTGGCCCGTCCATGATCTGTAATAAAAACACATACACAAATCGGTTTTGAAATGGTGCTTGTTTGCCATAAGATGATATTTCTCTACAGTGAAAAATACAGGGCAGATTCTCAGATGAACAAGAGTCTCAGAAGTCTTCTTTTAAAGAGCATTCCACTTCTTTATCTTTCAAATCTTAGAGAAATTGTGCCCTGAGGTTTTTTTAAACATTTACTTTGAGATATATTCCCAAATTAACAAAAAGGCCTTGAAATGCTGCTGTGAGATAATTGAAGCACCCAGAGATAGAAAGAACTGCCACCCATGGGAGAGATCAGAGTGGAATTGGAAAAAATAAAATCCCACACAACACATGGCTGTTTCTGGGCCATCAGTATTCTTCAGTAATTCTGTCTGCAGTTAACAAGCTTTAATTAAACCAGATAGATTTAATCAAGGTTAAAATAACATATGCACACAGAAGATGTTACAAGAGTGTATCTTATTCAAATTGCTGGAGGCAGACTGAGGGAAAGAATCGGGCTACATCAAACGAGTAAGTCAAGTTTCACTGACTGCTCGAAGTCGGATCAGAGGAGCAAGTGAGGCAAACTTCTGTGAGATCTTTCAAAGGCATGGCATTCACCTCAGACGCATGAATGACAACTGCTGACAGGCTATTTTCAGATGGAGCTCTTTGCTAGGATGCGGGGGAGATGGTTTTTTTAAGCTGATGTGTGCGCAGACATGAACACAAAGTGCTGCAGCTTAGAAAAGTTGCTGCTGCTGCTTGCTTTTGTCAGATATTATGCACAACTGTAATCAACTACAAAAGAACAATCAAGCTACCCAAGCGTAAAAAGTCACTTAAGCTAGATTGCGCACAGGGTGAAACAGTATTTAATAACTATGAGCTGTGGGTGAGTGAGAACAAGATGTGACAAAATGAAAAATGTAAGCATCAACTTTACACAAAAACAGTTACAGACATTTAATGTGAGAAATGAAAACACCTCCGAGAGCTGAAGAGATTTGCAAGATATAAAATAATCAAAGCGAGACCAGTGAGCTTAGCATCTAACTCAAATGATATTTGTTTATAGCCACGTGAAGGATTCAGTAAAGGGCAAAGTTGTTCGTTTTAGCTGCTGTGAAAAAGCCTCTGGTTCTTGCAGAGAAACGTTCATTTAAATGGAACGAGTGTGGTGTGTGTGGGCATGAACTGGAGATGCTGTTTGTGACCTACATGTCCGTTTGCCAGGTCGAGCAGGTCCCTCAGCCTACAGCCACGGCTGTGCCTGCGCTCGTAGCAGATGCTGTCCTCCAGCACGATGTAGTCCGCTCCAACCGAACCGAGCACTTTATGAACCTCCTCAGCAGACTGACGCGCATAGATCTGATATACCTGCAGGGAACGTAAGGGCAAAGATGGGAGAAAGATCGATATTAGGTGCTGTATCTTAGAACTTAAAGGCTGCATTTGTTTGTGCAGTAAAAATGTACTGCAAGGTGGTCCAGATTAAAAAAAAAATTGTTAGGGAGAGAAGATTTGGGAAGAGATCCCATCAGAACTAATCTCCTGTATAGTTGGGGGTGGGGTTACACTTGCTGCATGTCTCATAAAATGTTCAAAAGTGTCAACATTTGGGAGAATGAGAAGAGCAGAACTCAAACAGGCTATGTCTTAAATGAAAGTAAACAGTTGGGAGAATATCAGATGTGTAGCAATATATTGGACCCATGCATTAGGTCCTAAAGTGACGGCAGTCTAATATATCTGCTAGTGTCCGTGTCCTTAATTTTACTGAAACGAAGACCATGTTCTGGTTGCTTTAGGAGAAGTGTTTCTATTTCATTTTAAGATACATGAAGACATACGTCACAACAACCTTAATATCGTTCATATTTAACAAGTTAATAGATCTTTTCTCAAGAAGCCTATAATGAGTTTGGAAACTTTAGAGAAATGCTTAATGCATTAATTCAATTAATACATTAATTAAATTCATTAATATAACTAAAACTGTTAGATCTTACGATATTTAGTTGACTAAAACTAAAACAAATCAGATGACTAAAATATGACAAAGTGGCATTTTAATCTAAAGATAATGACTAAAAATAAATACAAATTTGCTGTCAAAATTACCACTGATTTGGAGGACGTATGTCACTGGTTTGGCACTGTTGGAAGGGCCCACCAGCAGAAATATCACTAAATGCTTTTTAAACTTACAGTTTACAGCTATTAAAACATGTTATTAAATAATTCTGCATATAAAGAAGGCATTTAAGTAGTGCATAGACAGTATCACAAACCATGAAAATATATTTACAGTATTTCAATTAATGGAGCAATATGGCAGCAATTGCGGATGGTAAGATTAGGTTTGACATTTCCATATATCACATGGATATGCGGTTCAATGTGGCAGAAAGGCTGCTGTAAACTCAGTGGTAGGGTTTTTGTGCCCTTTCTATTCATAGTTGTTGACAGACTATCACAACTAAAACTCATTTTCTCACAAGTAACAGTTGCATACTATACAGAGAAGAGAAGAGAACGCTCTGATGAAATCCATGGCAACCAACCAAACAACATTACTGTTACAAGAATCGCCAATCTAATAATCCATAGAATAATATTGGAAAAATGAATGATGAATTCATAATGTATTTGCTGATATGATGTATAGGTATTTATGGACAATTTTCCATTACAAAATGTAAATAAATAATTTTATATACAAATATTATTTTGTATGGATGTAAAAAAATATATATGTTGCATTTTCTCAAATGAGGCAATAAGGGAAGGATTGCCTCATCACCTCAGTCTGATGAGAAAATAATCAAACATTGCAAATATCAAATATTATGCAAAGTGAATTACAATAATGCTCAAAGCAATATGCACTTTGCCTCCTTGAGCTCATTGTTTCAGGAGAGCTGCCACCATGCTGTGATTGGCTGATCACACTGCCATTCTGGCAATGCACTAATGCCCACCTCTCATGCTCGCAACATATCTGCAAATCAGCACGAAGAGGTAAAATCGGTGGAAATGAATGGACTAATTACAAAGTAAACATCTCACCGACTCTGATATTTTCACTTTGGCCTTACATGAATTGAAAAGAATGAAACATGATCATGATGGATCCACTTATTAACTAGCAATCAGCTTAGTTAAATTAAAGCTGATTCTACTCTCAAACTTTCATTTAAAACTCAAGAGTTTACTTTAAATCTCCATAATAACACATAAAAACTACATACAATATGCTTGTTATTGTGGTATTGTTGTTATTAGGGGTGTGCAGCGAAGCCAAATATTTCTGCATCTGTATGTGTTGCAACAACAAAATTAACTTTATTCAGATAAAACCGAATGTGGGTGAGGATTAAACTGGAAGTTTGTCCAAACTATATGAAAACAGATCAAAATACAAAGGTACAAGAACTACAATCCCATGAAGCACTGCTAATGATACGGTCTAATTAAATGGAGAAATATAAAACTTTATTTAAAGATGCTATAGAGAGAGAGAGATTTTTATTATAAAATATTCAAGTAGTTTGAGAGCATTCACAGTGCGGGTGCTAAAGGGATTCTCTGATTGGGGTAGATTTCTCTTCAGAATTATGGGTAATGTAGTTTTTCACCAGGAATTTCACTGTTGAACACAGCATCAAAAATGAGTTGAAAATGCTGACTGATGCTTCAAGAAAAGCATATACCAATAATTAACAACATTGTACTGTAGCTCATAGTAGGTTTGCCTTTAAAGGTTTGCAAGATACTGTTAAAAATCAATCCCATTATTTGTTTAAATTGATGAACCCCTAGTTATTTTTGAAGCAATGTGGAAAAAGTTTGATTTGACTTGATTTTTAAAATAATGTTAATATAAACATACAAAATTATAATAGTATTGGTTACTTCTGTATAGTTTAAAGTGTAAGGTAAATGTTCAGTATGCATTTAAGTGGGAAACAGTGTGAACATCAAACTGAACCGGTACATAAATTTATATTTTGCTGTGATAAAACCCAAACCAAGAGGGGACTTCCTCCTGCCTCCTCATTTTAAAGTCCTCACACACCCTTGCAACCTCTCTACACGTCTCCAGTTGGAGAACCTTTAATGTACTGATTTGATGGGTAATGTGGGTCTTTCTGTTTAGATCAATTCTCATCAATTCTCTGAATGAAGCAGGAACAGTAGAACAGGAGTTTGGTCTTCCACCAACTGTTCAGATCCATATTTTCTCTTCCTCTACACTCACGAACAAATGAGAGAATGAACATCTGATCATCAGAAACCTCCTCTGACTTTGACCACCTCAAAATTCTGCCTCACAAACTCGAGCAATGAACCTCTGCTACAGGCAAATGTCCTGTAGTGAAGCCTAAGGAAACATGACGTTTCTTTCAGACAGAAATGGAAGAGAGTGACAGCTGATACAATCAGAATTACAGCTCAAAACAGATGAGTCAGTGTACATTACACATTTTAATGAGGATGTTTTTATAGACAAGTGCCCTCCCTGTTTCTTTTATGCACCAGGACATGGAAGCCACGCCACATATCACAGCAGTGCTGCGGAGTTTATTTGACTTCATAAAGATGCCCAATGGTGTGTCAACTTCCAACCACCTCAATTAGAAACCTAATTAAACTAATTATGCAAAAAGTCACACTTCTGCTGATGAGGCCAAGTATATAAATATCATTAAGAAAACCTTAAAGAGGATTTATGAACCATTTACTCATGATCTCCTTGATACGGCCCATTTGTAAGCTCATCATTAAGATTATCAGCTGATTTGTAAAGGTACACACTTTTAGACTCCAAAGCATTAACTCCTTCTAACAGTATCTAAAGAGTTTTTAGTGTTAGTATTAGCTTCTGACTGATTTATTTCTGCTTCATTTATTTCAATTTACATAATGAGGCATGATTGCATAAGAAAAGATTTGATTCTTTGTTCAAATGCTTCTGAGAAGTTTCATTTTATAATGCAGACCTGGGTCTGACTGACCATATGTTCAGCTCTTCAACAAAACATTATTGTGCATATTTTATGTAAATAATCTTCATTAAAGGGGTCATATGATGCTGCTAAAAAGAACATTATTTTGTGTATTTGGTGTAATGAAATGTGTTCATGTGGTTTAAGGTTAAAAAAACACATTATTTTCCACATACTGTACATAAAATAGATTTTGTGACTGTTGCACAATCATGAACCAATACACCCTTGATTGCTCCTTGTGTTCTCAAAAAACTTCTCCAGACTAGTGTTTGAAGCATTTTAGCATTGACACTAAATAAACAAAAGCATTTCCCAAAAGGGCGAAATGTCCCAAAAATGAAATTGTTGTCCCAGGAGATCGGTAGGTCCTAGACATAGTAGAACTTGGATTGAATTGTGATTCAAGCAAAACAAACATGAGACTCTTACCTGTCTGGTCCTCTCTCTCAGTGCCTGGTCCTCGTAGTGTGGATGGTTTGTCAATACTCTCCCTGTACACAGCTTAATTCCTGCCAACAGCTGCATGCTGCCTGCAAACACTGCCCGTTTGGGCGTCTTCAATCTGCCAAGGAAAAAATAAATAAATAAACATGAGGGCTCTGTTACATACACTTCTCAAGTTTCAGTAATATTTCAGGACAGGCGATTGCACAAGGGGGCTGGGTGTGTAGTGGTGGCATTTATGAGAAAATCTAAACCTGCATTCATTTATTTCAGGTGAAGGTGGAAATGTGCAATGGTTCAGTGAGGAGCGATGCAGTCGTTTGTACACTCCCATCACCCATGTCTGAAAAGCAGAAGGTTTGAAGTCTACTGCAGGTTTAAGGGACTCTGTCTGTCTGGATGTGATCTGTCTCCTGTCATTTTATATATGTGCATGGCATGGAGGGAAGTGCTGAAGCTGTATGTTATTTGAATAGCCTGACGGTTGTTTCAGAGACCATCTGTTATCAAAACATAACCTTTCAAAATCAGCTTCAACATTTTACACAACATTCTATTCCTGACTATTAGTATCTACACCACACAGAAGCCTCTGGGAGGAGAAAACACGCTCCATATCTTTTGTTGTTGATGGTATTTTGGGGAAAATTTTGTATTGGTAAAAGCAGCCAAATTTGCCAGATTCCAGCATGAGCAGATTGCGTGACATACCCTCATCCTCAAAAAACATCAACAAAACTGCACAAGTTGAAAGAAAACACGATCCAAAATACTAAAATACATTTGTAACTAGAAAAAACATTTGTGCTCCCCACAATGTCTTTAATGGAACGAATACTCGCACACTACTGAAATAAAGAGACATTTAGAAACCAAACAAACATTAAGCTTGTTAGGTATCTGTACACTTTACATCATAAGAAAAAAAAAGGTTACACTGTATTTTATGTCTTGTTACAGTGTAATTACACAGTACTTAGTAATATTAATTAACTACACGCACTTACTACAGAGTTAGGGATTGGTTTATGAAGAGTTAACAAGAAAAGAAAGAAAAACATTAAAAAACCCTAATTAATAATAAATCAAAATATACTGTAGTTCACAGTACTATTAATACATTTCAATGTTTAATTGTAAGGGCTTTTTTCCCCACAAAAAGTAATTGTGGAACTTCACTTTATGTCCAACCCAATGTAATCTGGGTCCCGAAGCAAAACAAGTTAAAACAACTACTGATTAAAAAATCAGCCTCAGGCATTCAAAACTCCCACCCCATGTCTGTTCAATTTGTTTAGGCAATAAAACAAAATATTGTCAGACTTCATGCTTCAAGGTCGGTTTCAGCTCAAACCTCTGTCAAACCAAAGTCTGTCCTTGTGAAGGTTAGAGGATATGATGGTTTCATCTCTGTCTAGTCTGGAATGAGTTGGATTAAATATTGGATGCATGGAAGAAATGTTTCATTACGGAGGAGCAAGATGGGTCAGTATGAGTCAACCGTGAACATGGACCCTCACAGGACAACCTTGCTCTGAGTTCAATAACTTAAGTCCAGTGACTATGTGCCACACACACAGACACATGCACAGACAAAATCCAAAACTAACTCCACGTTGCCCCATAGCGGGTACAATAACACACTCTGTTTCATCTCTGGTCAGCTTGTACCACACACAAAAAGATGTTAGCAAAGGGGACTCACAAACACAATTATATAGGATGACTAACAGCTATTTTCAATCTAAAGTTTACTAAAGCAATGAAGCAGCGAACAAAGAAAGAAAAATCGGCTCCAATTACAGTGGTCTCATAGAATTTGGCATGACCTTCACCTCAAAGACAAACTTAACATGTGATCTTATATACACACTCCTATGAAAAAAATTGTGAGAGACATAGGTTCTTCCAATAACAGGGTTCAGGAGCAGCCCTTCTGATGCTAGCGGGTAATGTGGAATGGGAAATGAGAAATTATCAGACTTCTGTGGAAAAACTGTACTGCTAGATAGACAGACCGACAGATAGATAGATACCAACATAAAATCCAATTGAATTCATTGAAAACATTCTAGTTTTCATCAGTATCTCTGTCTTGTCTTCCAGCATGAATGTCTATAAAGATATTTTCAGATCTTGTTTTGTTCCAGTGTACTGTTGTGTTGTCTAAACCTAGAGAGGTTTTGTTTCAAACAAGTGAACTAATCTGCCAAGAAAAAAGCACTTATGGGTCAGTCTGTATCAAATCAGACAGAATGAAAGAAGTGTGTTAATGCACCTATTCAAATTTTGTTTATTGTGTATGTGTTACACAGGGCCTATAACTAAGGACTAATTACAAAGACAAATTTCTATGTATATTTTTCAGTTTGAGCACACGACCGAAGACAAAGCCTACTATGCTTGCCTGTGTTCCGCGCAGTAGTGGATTCAGTTCTTTTTTTGAGGATTATTGTGCTTTTAATATTTCTTTTTAATATCAAGCACATCCCGATCCTTAGTTTGTCATTCATCCATGTTTCTTTATTAATAAATTCAAACAGCCTGCCTAGTGAAAGCTGTGCAGATAATCATATTGACATAAATGCGATACATAGGACATAATTTTGCTCTGTGACAAAAGCAAAAGTCGAAATGTGAAATGTTTCGAAATGTCTCTGGACACAGCAGTGCACCAGTTTGAATAAAAGAATATGTTTCAGTCCAGTCACTTTTTATATACTTTTTCATTTTCGCTGCTGTTTTAAAAATCTTTCTTTTTGTCATTACCACAAACAAGCTACATAGCTGCTTGAATCTGAGTGCAGGAGCTCTGGGTTACCATGGAAATGTTGATTGCTGTCGTGACACTCTCGAACGGCACTGAACATGCACTGTGGTCGGTACAACTGTAAATATATCATTCTAAACTTTTCATTAACTTTGGTAGGCTGTACAACAAAGGAGCTGCAATTGGCTGCTTTTTCTGCAGAAAAATGAACGGTCTAATTTTGCCAAAGGTTCCCGACTGCTGATCTACACAAAGGCCATAGCACTGTAATTGGATACATATGTACGAGGGGTGTCAGGAAAGTATCCAGCCATGTAATATGAAAAATAGAGACATTTATCGAATAAGATACAAGATACAAGAAACACTGTACATAGTACAATGACGCCTCAGTCCCCTTCAAAGGTGATTTTAGTTTTGGGAAAAGCCAGAAGTCGCAGGGCACCAAATCTGGGCTGAGTCCTGGGTGATCTGATGTTTCGCCAAAAAACTCTGCACGAGACGTGATACATAGACCGGTGCATTGTCGTGATGAAGCTGCCAATCACCAGTTGCCCATAGCTGCAGCAGTTTTCTTTGTATTGTATCGCTCATCTCATATTTTTTCATATTATATGGCTGGATACTTTCCGGACAATCCTCATATATTGTGTTTACTCTACCACTTTATTTCCTTCTCAGCCTCGATGGCAAACATATGTCTGTTCTCCACTAATACAGCATCTTGTCAACAAATTAATTGCTTTATAACAACCTGAAAACATTCACTGTAGTGTACTGCATACATACGTTTTAAATGTGCATAAGGCTTTCAGCTTTCAAAGTATTCCCTATTGTGTTTGAGCGTGGATGGACTAGTTCGACACATTCGCAGTATCACAGTGGACCATCTCAACATTCACCCGGTGCCTGGACACAAAAATTGGGCTGCACGCAGACAGTGTTGATAACTGACTGTTCCAGCAGTTGGCTGTTGGTGCCGAATAAATAGCTTGAAATGGCAAAAAAGTAAGCCTTTATGTTCCTCCAGTAGAAAAGACAGTAAGGTTCACCAACCATAAAAATGCATATTCAGAAACTGTTTAAAATGTCATATAGTATTCATTTTTAACTGAATAGTAATGTGGATGTGAATGAATCCATCCAAATGTTAAAATGTATTGAATCAGATTACCTGAAAATGCATAATTCAAAAGCACAAAAGGAAAAAAAAAAAATCAATTTCACAAATTATTCATTCATACAATGTATGAAAAAAAACAACAACACTGCATGAAAAATTCTTTCTCATGAAAGTAATGTTCTCACAAGCCACATCCATTACTGGATGAAGGATTGTCCACTCAGATGAACTTCTATCAAATATCGTCCAGAGAGAAGCACATGGTCAACTACAGTAGCACAGATGTCATCAGAGACAAATGATCTCCTTGGCCTTCCTCTCCCTAATAGACCTTTTTTCACACTTCCGTGTTCACACAGCAAAAGGCTTCAATAATAGAGTACAGAAACTTCTGTTTTATCCTTCATCAATGACAGCGACTGTAGAGCAGAATTATTATTGATTTCAAAAGCACAATTCATTACCAGTAACTAGGGCTGCACGATTAATCGAATGCGATTGTCATGCGCATTTTGATAGTAATGCCGGTTCTGTAATCAGCAGGAAATCATCATCACGTGCTTTCAGATGGAGCAGCATTTACTACACATAGCCGTAGTTCACTGACAAGTTACGCAAAAAAAATCGCAGACGATTTTATTGTGCGATTCTGAAATCGAAGAAATCGTTCTCGATAATGACAGCTGTTTGCATAGCTTCTCGGTGAACTACGGCTCTGTGTAGTAAATGCTGCTCCATCTGAAAGCATGGGAAAATACCACATTTAATATATTTTTACTCCAAACTCACTTCATAACGTCAGTCGAGTGTTTGAAATAAATCCTTCTGTGAGATGATGTGGCTTCTTACACAGAATAAGGCACGCAACATATTTCATAGTATTTAAGCAGTGATAAAGGCATTGCATTATAAATATACTTTATTTTAATGAAAATTATAATAATAAGAACTCAGATAAACCGTATATTGCCGTAGTCGTGTGTTTATTAGTCACGTTGAATCAATGAAAGCAGTTGAATCTTCTGTTTATTCAGCTGCAGCGATAGGCATTTTCTGGGTTTCTTCTGCGAGGCGTATTTGGAGTTTCAGCGCGAGCGCGCCCTCTGGCCTTTGGATGGAGATTTCCTGCTGATCACAGAACCGTGCTTCACTGAAAGATACGCATGACAATCGCAGCTTCTGTCGAATCTCGATCTCGATTCCATTTCGATTTATCGTGCAGCCC